TTCACAAAAACGCATCCGAACACCAAGCTACACGATTATTCGCAACGCCGTGATCCCTGAAAATCTTGCCAATCGCAATGAAAGCCAACGTTCAACCCTTCAACCCTCAAAAGTAACCACCATAAAGTTTTAACCAATGAATAAAACTGATAAAAGTCACGATAATACAGAGTGTGATCGCTCGCTGAAAGCGCTCTTGAGTGATAAACAAATTTTCCTGTCGGCAATGCAGGAAATATAGTAGGATGGAGAATATACATACTGATAGTGAGGTGTTAAGGGTCAATCCTTTAACTCTCAAGATCTGATTGTTAATTCTCCCCTCTAGTCGCTACACATTTCCTTGTAAATAACTTCCAAGAATTTGGTGTTAGATCGAGATAACAACTTCTACCTGATAACTTTAAATATTCTCATGACCTGTTTGCTGGATATTGTTTAAATATTACAAGGAGAAGTCACATGTTCATCACTTCCGGGAGTTGAAGGGTTAATGACATAGTTTGCTCGGTTCGACAAATGCCAGAGAGGCACGAATGAAGAAAATGGAGGCAAAGATGGTTAATTATGGAGAAGTATAGCGCAGATTGCAAATGGAGACGTAGTGATATTTTTTCTAAATTTCATAGGATGTATAACCATGGTTTCGTTTCTTTGAAACATTTTCTTAATTTTATCAACGTCATCTAACTCTCTAAACAAATCATGGGGAAAAAAAAAACTTTTTTCGCATTTTTAGGTGAGGTCAGCGATGATGATATGGAAAGGAAAACGTCAACGAGCGGCCCACGCTTCAGGTGTTGATGCGACGCAAAAGGTATACATTATTATTCAATTCAATCAGATATTGCAGTTTGCTTCAAGGAAGTATATTCAGCCCATCGAATCAACTGAAAACTCCATTTGATGTTATGGTAAAATCATGATAATTTATGTGCAGAATGTTTTACTTTCCGTAGTAATAGGTTGAGAATGAATTTATAACTTTGACCCACCGAAAGTAATTGGTTTGAACCCAAAAACAACATTTGATAATCTAGTTAATGTTTAATTGCCCATGTGAGAGCAGGGAGTTCTGTGGAGGAATGTTGCCGGTCTATTAGTAGCTGTAAAGGGTTGTAGCATACAGCAGTTGTGATAGGTCAGCTTCGATTCATCGATATAGCAAAGTCGTTCCATGCGGCGAATTTTTTTTTTGTTTGAATATCGTGAAAAAATAAAACCATGCAGGTAGTTATTGACGTCTGTTTAGATGACTTTAATTGTGTGACGAGGAAGAGTTTTCACTAAAAGGCTTATTTGTGGGTGAGATGTTGCTGCTAAAGAGGATAAAAGACGCTAGAAACTGTTTTAAAGTGTTTCTAACCCAGTTCATCATCAAATAACAGTCATTTTCAGGCTGATACTGTTCTGATAATCTGAGCTCCATTTTTTCACAGAGCAAACCAGTCAGCTGTAGTCTTACGACGGAGAGGTTACCAAGCCATGGCGTTAGAATGACTGATTTGAGAATCAAGGAAAACAATCAAAATTACAGACGTAGTGGAGAAATGAATGGAAATTTCACATGTAAGTGGTCCATTTTGTGGTGTGTAGCCTAGTCTATGCTAGAGGTTGGTCAGCGGGGGCAAGCGAAAGGGCCTGCGAGCGAAAAAACCGCGATGAAATAATGAGTACTAGAACAAACTGTTACCAAGAATTTGCAACAGACAGCCATGTTTACGTGTACTAACCCTGTTGTTTCCTAATCTGTTTTTTAAGAATCCAAGTGGATGGAAAAGGAACGAAAAAAACTAAATTTAATATAAAAGCAACGAAGACATATGTGAAGAGGGCAAGATGGTGGACATTGAATTAGAACAATAGACCCTGTAAAGTATTGAAAATTAATTATATTGACTATTCATGAAGCGTAAAGGATATTGAATGAGACTTCAGTCCACAGATTATACGACTTGAAGGTTGCTTTCAATCACAAAACAATGGAACTGACTTTTCCGGAGAGGAAGAAAGTCCTACGTTTTTTTAAGCGTTAGCATTTATTTATAGCATTATGCTAGCTTCCAGAATTCTTGCATTTTCACGGAAGTTGTGTTTAAGATTTCGCGTTTAAATATAGGACAAGTTGAGAGTGTTTTGATCGAAGCAGACCGTGATAAATCTGAATTACAAGTTAATTTTAAGACTATAATATAAAAGGCTGAGACGTTTGTAAACACCACGTTTAATTTATTTTCCATAGTTTTTTTTCGTATAAATCTTACATTTAACTTCTTTCTCAGCTAATACTGAAAGCAGTATTTCTATTCCTTTAGATGCACTCCGTCTTATTGCGGCTGACTCATTTCTGCGTTCAAAATATTTAAATAAGACCTCGTTAATGTCAGTGATTTGCTTTCTTTCGAAATTTGTTCTTTTAGTTTTTGTCGTTGTTGTTATAGAATAGAGACAACGTTTACCTACGAAACTTGAGGTTTTAATAAACTAATTTAAACTACGTGTTGAGCGTAGAAGTGAGCAATACGAGTAAGCAATATGAATTAATAAAAGCAAACGACTCCAAGCTATTTACTTTAAATTTTGGAGTTAATTTTCAAGCGCGAAATGTGGGGAATTTTCACTAAGCATGTTTACAGTTCTTTGCACAGAGTATCCGGAAAGTCTACTTATACGACAGTTACTTTGGCGTATGAAACTTAAGCACAGCTCTTATCTTATAACTCCAAAACCAGAAGACAATTCTTTTACAAAATTTTGAGACTGTGCAAATAAGTGGTATCAAGGCGTGTTCAGAGGTAAAGCCTCCTGGACAAATTTTCTTATTCAGTTTTCTATCCTGCAATATACTCCTTCTTCAACCATTTCACTTCCTTGATCTAAATATCAAGTGTTGGCATTACTTGCTATATATTGCTGATTATTTCAGCCCTAAGAATTCAACGTGAAATCAGACATCACTAAGGAACACACTAGACTAAGACTTTTCTAAGTGATAGACACAGCGATCTTAAAAATTGAAATTGTGGTCGCCATGAAACCTTACCGTGGTTTATCGGTTTGATATATTAGCCTTCCTTTGTTCTACTAAATACTTCCATATCTGTTAAGTGGAAATCAACGGTGCCAGTATAGAAATTGCATTTCTGTTCTTCAACACAGCCAGGAGGAATTTGATAGGTGTCAGGTTTTGCAAATGAGGTCAGAGGTAAAGGTTTAAAAAACAAATCGGCCGCATATCCAAAGATTGGCAATTGTTGGTGACAACTGTATATAGCACTGTTGTATTTCACAGTGAAATTGACTGGATGATGTCCATTGATGTTGTAGAGTGAAAAGAGAAACGCCTTTCTATCTTCTCGGCGAATACATGGATAACCTACAGTGATGCAATAAAACAGTGAGATGGATTTCAGTGAAATGCATGACGGGATATAATTCTTTAAGGAGCTTAGATCAGACCATTACCAGAGGAATATCCTATACTCTCTTGACACAACTGAAGCCGCCAAGTTCCCAAATTTTGCTAAATATCGCACTGTTTGAGAAAATTTCAGCATTCCTGTGAAAGCCTAAATGATACCATCATTATCCAGCAAAAAAAATTAAAAGAAAAATATATAAAAAGAAAAATAAAACTGGATAACGCTTGGTAAAAATACAATTTCTAAGTTTCTAAAAGTTTCCAATGGATCAATGAAAAATTATAAATCTGTTTCCTTAAATTGTTTCGGTTTAGGAGTGCTTGGTAATCTTATCATCTCAAATCTAGGAGCTAAAAAAGATTACATTAAGATTAAGCTGCCTATCATTGACGTAAGTAACGTTTTACTTACTCGTCCACGATACACTGATGTATGCTCCAAAAACATATTCTCCGACTTGTGCGATGGTGACAGTTGGCCCTTTGTTGTCACATCTGCTGTGAAATTGAGTTGTATTCCATCCATGTGACAGCGCATGGTAACATCTTGTCCAGTTGCTAGTCTTATTATCACTAATAACGGGCTCAAGGAACTGCTGCAAATCATGTACGAAGGAGCTACTTGCCGTTAGGATAACAGAATCGATATAGGCTTGAAAGGAAAAGAAGAAAACGAAAGTTATACATACATGCATGGCTAGATGACTAAATTTATAAGAAGGCAAATTTACTCCGCCTAGATGGCTAAAAGGTCCAGGGTAAGGTAGCTCTGGACTACCTTTAACCCGTTAACTCGCATGAGTGACCAAGACAGAATTTCTCCTTACAATATCGATACATTATCAAGCAGACAAGTGAGGAGAATAAAGAAAACTATAAATTAGGGGATTATTAGTCGATCCAAACCCAAATTCTTCCAACTGACATCGCAAGAATTGTATGGCAGACAGTAAGGAGAATTATTTATGAGATCATGGGAGGAAAAGGGTTAATTTTTTCCCTACAGCTCTCTGGTATCCATCAACACTTTACTCTGTGTTGTAAAGTAAATGAAATGAGTTTTCCAAGGAAACAAATAAAAACACCCATGACAAGGGATGCAGCTTTCACCCGGACCTTGTCACCTGGAGCCCTAGGTATTGCTAAACTTTGTTGAGATAAAATAGGGCGGGCTATGTACAAATACACGTCTTAATTTATGTAGACCTGAGTTAAACACATTAAGACCTTCAAGATTGAAGAAGTTAAGCAAGCGGCTCACGCTATGTTCGATATAATGGAAACTTACACCTTGTCACGGTATAACGGAAATCATAATTGCATTACCAAATAGATTGTTCCGGAGAACTGAACCAAGCGCTTCCTTATACAGCTTTAGTATCCGCATTAAATGACTAAGCTTTGTGGAAATTCCCAGAAAGAGCCACTCTTCAGAACAACTTATATGATTATAATTGTACATGTAATTAGTTTACTTTTATACCTGAACACGATCTTCCATCACCAGAATATCCATTTTTACACGTGCAGTTGTAAGAGCCAACGGTGTTGATACATTGGGCATTTACGTCACATTCATGAGTGCCGGAGACACATTCATCGATATCTGAACAGAAAGTAGTAATTGAAAGTTTCTCAATCAATGGAACTCTTAAATGGAATGCAATCATTAGTAAGCACGAACAGACAATCTTAATACATCAAACCAGTTTTGAGCAGACACCTTCCATTTCCATGTCACAGTAAAGTAAAGCGGCTTTTCCACTCCTATTTGGATCCAACCAATATTTGCTGCTTATGGCTGCTTTGCCTTCACTCATCTTTATTTCCCGACACGACTCTGCGGGCATCTCTGGTACGGATCCTAAAGGAGCTGTGAGAGAAAACCCAAAATAGTCATACAGCACAGGCATTAATTATAACAGATTATTCATCCTATAAAATGAACTCCAATTTGACTTTACATTTGATACGTACCCCTGTCAAAAAAACGTATGTGGTAAAACCGAGCGAGGTCTGGTTGAAAATTTTCAGGTTTTGCCTCTTTGGTCCGGTTGTTCAGTTCACAGGACTTTTCTCCAACTACGTAGTTATAACTCTGACATCTGATTTCTCTTTCGCAGCTGATGTCACACTCGTGGATGGCTGATACAGAAAACTTTTTGAAAACAAATCCCCGCAGGGCCATTCCAGCTATGTTTCTCTCTTGTTTGCACTGTGCATCAACAAATGCAACGTCGATTAAGAAACCAACGACGAAGAACCAGGTCACAGTCCAACTCATTTTGTTACTTATCTGAAAAAAACGACACAGTTAAAAAAAAGGCAAACAAAAAGTAAAATAAAAGTTGTTATTATCCAACTGCACATAGTAGAGTACAAATAAAACACGAATAGAGTACAAATATCCTGCGATATTGTACGGTTATTTGAACAGCTGGTTATTTTGTGCTGTTAAAAAACCTGTTTGACCAGTCGGCTGCGCGCGCTACGTTTCTCTATCCGCTTTGCTTTTCCCGCCTTATGAGAAATGAACAGAAGAACAGGACTCAACAGAAGAAAATAGCAGTTGGATAATAAATGACTTATTAGACGTTTTGGTTTGTAGTATCGCTGAGTATTTTTACGAGTTGTGCCGTATTTTGACGAGCCTGTAGGCGAGTCAAAATAAGATATACATATATACATATATATATATATATATCAAAATAAGATATACTCATATATATACTCATAAGATATACTCATATATATACTCATAAAATATATTTATGACCCAAGTGCACTAACTAGAGTGTAAATAACGCGCGAGTCGAGTACAAACGGTCCACGATATTGGAAAGTTGGTTATGTTAAGATAGCAACAGTCCACATGAAAATGCTAAAATATCGTGTCAAACCTATTATACCCTTACTTTCTAATTTGATAAATGAATTACTATTGTAATTGACCCTGGAAATAAGCCAACAAGTTTCAATTTATCACGCAATGTTAACGAGATAAATTAAGCTGAAACCCTTACGATCGACGAAAACATTTTCAAATGTGTACTCCATAAAAAATTTTTAACAAATTAATACGCAAAATTGAACACAAAATAAAAAATTATATAAGAACAGTGTTACTAACCAGAGTGAAAATAACGCGCGAGTCGAGTACAAATACTCCGCGTTATTGGACAATTGGTTATGTTATGATAGCAACAGTCCGCTTGAAAATGCTAAAATATCGCACGAAGTAGAAAAAGTTATAAAAAGACAAATTACATTTTCATTTCTCTGGAGCTTATCTGTTTTTAACAAGCTTTAAGCAATACTTCCGGCTGAGTACTTTTCAGGAGGACAACCTTTGCTCTCAATTTTTTCTGTAAAAAAAAAAAAAGAAAAGAAAAAAAAACAGGTGGTAAGTGGGAGTGATGGTGCATGATTCATTCAAAAGATTTTTTAAGAGATTTGCAGCACCCCATACAGTGACTCTGCATTTCAGCTCTGACAAAGCTAACAAACTCATCAAGGCGACCTTGAGAAACTCTCGATAGTTTTTAAGAAGGAGCGTAACTATCCCTGTATTCAAGCGCGCTCACTTTTCACATCCCCTACGTTAGTTCGTGGTAATTCTAATAAAAAAATACTAAGAGATTGTAAACTGTAGTTTACGATCTCTTAAAAATACATGTGCAAAATTGATTCGACGACTATGGAGTTTAGCAGCTTGTTCAATGGAGCCCGACATGTTAACAAAAACATTTAAAGAAGTAGCTTACAAAGATTTTCCCTACCTTTTAAAGGACATTCGCTTTTGAAGCATGTTAGCCCCCGGTCTCAGGCGGATCAACTGTGAAAAATGGAGCCGTGCTATTAATTATTGAGTAGTTGGAAGTGTTACAACTATAGCTACAAAACAAACAACTTTTGAGGTGAACTGTAACTCCCGTATCTTGCTTCCTGTTCACCTGTGTAAAATTACATCAGCTACTATCAGCGGGTAATTTTTGCTATTCTATCTTTGCTGGTAAGTTATATATATCTTTAAGTGACCATTCTTGTATCAGCCACTTTAAAAAACTTAGATAAGAATAAAATTTTTGAAAAAAATGAGAAAGTCGAACTCCTAAAAAACGCTACAAATAATACCTGGGTAGTTATTGATTTAAAAATGTTAATCAGGTCATTAATAAGGTTTTCGACCCACGCAATGATATCGTGCCGTTTGCCTGATAGGATGATTAAAAAACAGTCTCAATCGCGTCGACCGTTAGCCGTAAAACAGCCAAACATTTTTGACATTGGGCGTAAAAAATGAAAAATTTTAGCCGTTGGTCGTTAGCCATAAAAATGTTTCCTTTAATCACAAAAGAAGGAAATTAATCGTTAGCCGTTAAATGGCCAAAATTTAATTGTTAGTCGTAAAAGCCATAACCCCAAAGCAGGTTACGACAGGTGTCAAACCGATTATACCCTGTCTTTCCAATTTGGTAAATGAATTACCATTGTCAGCGATCCTAGAAATGAGCCAATAAGTTTCAATGTATCACGCAATGTTAACGAGATAAATTAAGCTGAAGCCCTTACGGGCTTCAAGCAAAATTGAACACAAAATAAAATTATATAAGAATAGTGTTACTACTCCACCTATGTTCCATCCCGCGGCGAGGCCAGGAAAACTATTTCTAGTTGTGCATGTGTACATGTGAAAGAGCAAAACGTGCGTTTATGTTCTCCCCCGTGCGGTTGGTTTTATGCCGTGTGATGTGCCCCTAAAATACCCTGTGGGGTGGACACAACCCTGTCGAGAACATGAATACCTCTGCATAAAGTTATAGATTTTCTAAATCTTCCTGTAGACGGATGATGATCATCAGCAATACAATAATATAAATTATAGAAAATTTTGTTGTAAAAAGGAAATCTATTTTCAGAGTGGAGACATACATTGTCGGTTATGATGAAGTTTCTCACAATTGGGCGTAACTGCATAATTAAGAAAGATGAATCTTGGAGATAATCTTGGTTCACAGAGTGAAGAACACACTCCGTCAGTTCTAAAGAAGTTCGTAAAAAAAAAACATGCGTAATTGGAAGATTAATTCAGTATATTTAAAAACTATTCTTCGACGTGTGGTTACTAAGCCGCAAAGCCGACTGATAATGGGAACTGCAGCAAATCGCTGCCGAGCGTGTTATTTGCCTTTAGGATACTGAACTGGAAGACAAAACTTATTCAGACACATTACATTTCTAGAACAAGAAACGTCAGATCAAAAAAATTTTCTCTTTACTTTGGCGGTCTTAAAGTAGTAGGCTATGTAAGCCTGGAATTTCAGGGTTTTTGATTTTTGCACTTTCAGTTCTCTGTTACCAATTGACACCCTTTTTTCACAATTGGAATGTAAAGAAAATGTATTGTCATTTCCAAGAACTCATAGGAAAATAACTGGGTGTCACCAGCGACGGCTTCAACCCGAAGCCCAGAGCATCGCTAAACTTGGCCAAGAGAAAATAGACCGAGGAATAAGTAAAATTATGCTCAGCTGACCGTCTCAAAAGCACCAAATAGTACACGTCTTTAGCTTACTCAGGGATGTTTAAATAACGCTAAAGATAAAGTTAGGTCGTTCTGTTCGGTTTGTTCGGTTTGTTGGTAACGTTAGTGTTGTGAATAAGTCGTTTTTATGGTGCCGGTAGTAGTTGACACCTGTTAGGGGGGGTCTGTTTCAAGTCAGTAAACCAGCTCTCCAGATGTCAGTCGTTGGAAGTAGTTAGTGTTGTGTCATCTGAATGTATTAACAGAGAAACTCAACCAAGTTTACACAATCTTGGGTACCAATTTAATTCAATAAGATTTTTATGACACTCATTTAAGTTACTAAGGCAGTGCAACGACTCCTTGATAATGCGACCACGAACAGGGTGGCCAAAATCTTTACGGCCTGGCCTTTGAACAGTCCAGAAATTAAAGGTATGTTTTCATCCTTCCCTAGCTTGTTGTCTGAAGAATCCTGTTCACGTGACTATCGCAAGTTCTTCCCCTTCCCCCTTTCTTTTCCTCGTAGTAAACTGGATACTCTTTGGTCTCGTTTACTCGATGTGTACACAGCTAAAGAAGTCCTCGTTCAACCCTCACGCCAGTAGTTCAGGTCGAACGTTTAAACTTTCGATTGTTTCCTCAGGTAAACAGTAAACAGGATTGACAGGTTTAACTTCGGAAGATCCCAACAAAGACAAACCTGCTAAGCCAAACAGTGTGTGGAACGGATCTACCTGCAAATGTGAAAAGACGACGAATTTAAAACCACGTAGCATTTAGAAGAAATAAAATAACCTTTGTCGCTAGATTACATCATTTCATGGACCTCCACTAAGGAATCAACACATTCAGGTACGATGTTTGTGTCTTCCTTGTCTTACGTAGGACATCGAGTTAGTCGTGTGCTGGTCGAGGAGTTGTTATCTTTCTGCGGCCGACGCCACGATTGTAATATTTCAATCAACACTTTGGTTGGATCGAATATGTCATTACTTCCTTCTGGATGACAGGTTACGCGGAGGTAAGTTAACATTGAGTAAAATAGAAATTTTGTAGTGCATGCAAGACAAAGAACTGCCTGATGAAAGCTTACAAAACGAACCAAAGAGAAGGTTTATGATGCTTTTTTCATATTCATTTCATTTTCCTTTCTTATCGACTCAAATCCCGCTAAATCCCTAATTTTCACGAGTCCTTCCTTTATCGTTCAATTTGTCTCCTATATTAGAAAAAAGATAGTCGCCCAGTTCTACCTGGTCAACGTTCAGCCTTACCATATCACCCGGTCTATCAGCAAATCCACCCGTCTCCTCGTCCTGACAGGCAAGGATGTAACTCTCTAATTTGTCCTGAAACACAAATACGTTAAATATAAGAATTATAACAGCTGTCTCGCGGAAAAGCACCCGATGTTTATACTGTCTGACTGACTGACTAACCGACTTTCTTTTTCCCATTCGCTCTGACGAAGGGCTAACTCTCGAAAAGTCAGCTTTAGAAACCCTTTACCGTTGCCAACCTACAATATCAATTCAATTGTAAGTCCAGTCTGTCTGTCTGTCTGCCTCAGTTTGGTCTGTCTGTCTGTCTGTCTGTCTGTCTGTCAGTCTGGTCTATCTGTTTGTCTGAAAATCTGTTTGTGTCTATACCTTATCTATCCAATGTAATTTTCCGATGATCTTGAGTGATGCCAACACCCACCATGAGTAACAAACATCTGGGAGTTTCTCTGGACGACCTAGAGTGAATTTAAAATAAATATCTTAGCTTTTCCTTTTCTATGTTACTAGAACACCAAAACAAAACACAACAACTGCCTATTTTTTCTCTTCTTTCTGACCCATATCCCTTCCTTCAATCAGAACAAAGGAAATAGGGAAGAAGAATCTTCATTAATTTTTTTAGTTTGGAAAACACATGGTTGAGATAATAGCCTGAATTTAAAGTTCAGTCACGGCGAGTTGTGAGGCAGAACCATTGCAATCTTGTATAACTATTGACACTATTTTGAGAATTGTTCTTTAACCTTCCAACTGGGTTTTCTGCAATCTTAAAAGCTGTTATTTTGAAGAGAAAAAAATACTCTGACAAGATTAGAGTCACAGTTCCAGCATAATGAATGGCAGTCCTACCCTTTCCAATGAATAGCAGTCCATTCCATAATGAATGGCAGTCCTACCCATTCCAGTCACCCTGCGGCTATCACACAGTCAAGTGCCTGTCACTCACCATTTAAACCACCAGATGGCAGTTGTCGCTCACAAAGCCACCATCCTAACATATCAGCATTCACATGATGGAGAGAGTCAGCTATGGCAAAAGCACCAAGACAGCAATAAATCTGCAAAGAGGAATGGTTGAACATGCATTACACCTGCCGCTTCATGAGTGTAAAGAAATAAAACCCAAGTTAGCCTTCATTCGAGTTCTTAGAGTACAGGATATGTTGACCAAACATAAGATCAAGTTTCATCCAAAGTTTGTTCAGTGCTGAGAGATATCCCATCCTTGCATATGGAGGTGGTGTAACCAAGAGGTTACGGTGTTGTAATTGAAATCCTGTTGTCACAGATTTACTCAAACCAGTTTGTAACTCAATCCACTTATTTCTAAGCTGTTCTGAGTTCAACTCCATTTCCTTAATGTGACTTAAGTTCTCTCCTCTACCTCATTCCCATTGAATTTTAAACAACTGTATGATTATGTGGAAATTTTGACTCTATTGGCTCTGAAAAGTCCCTTTTGCAAAGATATCTATAGTTACATAACTATATATATATATATATTGTATGTGGCAAATATCTAAAGTAATGTAAAATC